TTATTGTGTCTAGGAATCTGTCCATTTCTTCTGTGTTTTCCATCTTATTAGAATATAGTTTCTCATAGTATGTATTGATGATCTCCTGGATTTCTGTGTGATCTGTTGTTATTTTCCCCCTTTTCATTCCTAATTACTTGAATTTGTGTTCTTTCTTTCCTCTTTTTGATGAGGCTGGCTAATGGTTTATCACTTTTATTTATTTCAAAAAACCAACTTTTAATTCATTGATTCTTTGTATTGTTTTCTTAATCTCTATTGCATTAATTTCTGCTCTTATTTTTATAATTTCTTCCCTTGTATGAGATTCGGGTTTCATTTGTTCTTCTTTTTCTAGAAATTTGAGGTTCAACATTAGGTTCTTTATTTGAGCTTATTCTGTCTTCCTGATGTGTATGTTCATCACTATAAATTTCCCTTGTAGGACTACTTTCATTGCATCCCATAGGTTTTGGTATGTTGTATCAGCATTATTGTTTAATTGTATATACTTTTTAATTTTGTCTTTAATTCCTCTGTGACCCATTGTTTGTTCAGAAGGATGTTGTTTAATTTCCATGTGTTGATGTAGTTTTTGTGGTTCCTTTTACTGTTGATTTCCAGTTTCATTGTGCTATGGTCAGAGAGTATGGGATGATTTCAATTTCTCTGCATTTACTTAAACATATTTTTCAGCTAATATATGATCTATTTTGGAGAATGTCCCATGTGCAGCTCAGAAGAATTTATATTCTGATATTTTGAGGTGGAACACTCTGTAGATATCTACTAAGTCCATTTGTTCATAGGCTTGGTTTAATTCTAATATTTCTTTGCTGATTTTTCATCTAATTGATTTATCCATTTGTGACAGTGGGGTATTAAGGTTCCCCACTACAATTGTGTTAGTGTTTATTTGGTTTTTCATGTCAGTTAATATTTGTTTTATGTAGTGGAGTTAACCTGTGTTTGGTGCACGAATATTTATGATTGTTATCTCTTCTTGGAGTTTTCCCTTAACAAGTATGTAATAACCTTCTTTATCTCTTTTGATCAGTTTTGGCTTAAAGTTTACATTGTATGCAAATAGAAAAGCTACCCCTGCTTTTCTTTGGGTTCCTGGGCATGGAGAATTGTTTTCCTTCCTTTGACTTTTAGTCTATGTATTTCTTTTTGGGTTAAATGTGTTTCTCGAATGTAACATATTGCTGGATCTTGCTTCTTGATCCATTCTGCCAGTCTGTTTCTTTTGATTGGTGAGTTAAGACCATTAACGTTGATGGTTATAACTAATATGTATTGGCTTTTCTTTTTCATGTTGTTTCCTTGTTATTTGTTCTCTGTCTTTCTGCTCTGTTTAATTGCTTGTCCTGCCTAGCAGCTTCTTTCTATTGGTGTTCCTGCATTTATGGTCTTCATTATCTCTTTCTAATATATTTTTCAGAGCATTCTGTAGAGTTAGTTTGGTGATCACAAATTTCTTCAGTTATTCTTTGTCATGGAAGTATCTTATTTGTCCATCAATCTTGAAAGATAGTTTTGTGAGATACATCAATCTAGGTTGAAGACTGTTTTTCTTTAGGGCTTGAAATATTTCATTCCAAGCTCTTCTTGCCTTTAGAGTTTGTGTTGAGAAGTCTGCTGTGATTCTGATGAGCTTTCCTTTACAGGTGATGTTTCTTTTCTCTAGTTGCTTTTAATATTTTGTTCTTGTGCTGAATTTCTGGAATCTTGATTATTATATGTCTTGGTGTGGATTTATTTTGGTCATGGCTATTTGCAGTTCTATATGCCTCATTTATTTGTATGTCAAATTCTTTATCCAAATTTGGGAATTTTTCTGCCATTATTTCTGTGAAGAGGTTTTTAATGTCATTTGTGCTGTCTCCAGCTTTCTCACTGATTCCAATCAGTCCTCATGTTGTTCTTCTTTGCTTTATCCTGTAGCTGTTGGATTGATTGTTCATGGTCTCTTGTGATTTTTAAGATATCTTTCTTTTCCTAGTCACTAGTTGAGGTCCTGTCTTCTAGATCTTATATTCTATCTTCACCTTCACTCAATCTGCTGTATATACTACTTTTAATGGAATTTCTAACCTCCTGCACTTTTGTTTTGATCTGTCGCATTGATTCCATTTCTTGTCTATGTTTGGTATTCATGGTTTCCATCATTTTCCTGAGCTCCTCTATTTATCTGTGTCTGCTTTAATGTCTTTTATTTTGATAGTAATTTCTTTTTTCATCTTAGAGATTATTTTTCCTATGGCCTCTTCCATTTGTTTTTTTCTCACTTCTATTGCTATCATTTCAGAGAGTTCCATTTATTGGCTTCTGATTTCTTCTATCTCTTTGTGTTTTGGACTTGTCCTGGGTGGGCTGGGCAATTGGGATTGCAGTTTGCTTTTTTATCTTGTCATTTTCTATTTCATTTTCTATGATGATGCTTTTAGATTTCTAATGTTAGAAAGCCTTATCACTGATGTCAAGGC